CCTCTCTGTCTGTGGGCGGGGTCGTGGTGCGGAGCTCTCTGTGATTGGCCCGTGCCTCTTGTGAGGCTTTCCTCTTGATTAGGTTGTCACTGTCCTGTTGCCGGTTGCATCAGCTGCTGCAGTGCCGGGTTGTCGGAATGTCGGAGAACGTGGCGGCGCAGATGGAGAAGATGAGTGTCAGCAAGGTGGGTGATACGGGCGAGGATGGCAGCATGGAGGGGTGGTCATGGATCAGACCCCTTATTCACAAAAAATGGTGAATGGCTGTCTATCCACAATAGTCATTCACAGAGGGGTAAATGTGTCTTCTTTGTATCATTTAATATAAGAAATTATATATAAATATATAGATATCTATAGATATATCTAAGATCACCTAGAAACAAAAGACTAAAAGGAAATAATAAATAAAAGTAAATAAAAAAACCACCCAGGGATCCCCCCTATTCTGTCTTTTGTGTTTATTATTTGTGTTTTTTTAACCTTTTCAGTCTAAAAAAAAAACAGACCCGTATTCATCACAGGCATATCTACATTTACTTAGGGCCCATTCACACCAGTGGGGGCCCAAAAAGCCCATATAATGCATGTACATCGGTGTGTTATGTGTTGTTACAAACCATTGTGCTGTTCACTTTTTCTTTTGTTTTAACTTAATTGACATTTCATTCACCTCTCTATGCCGTGTCACTTTGCATTTCATCTTAGCACATTGCAGTGAGCTGTGTAAAAATGCAGCACGTCCTACTTTTTTTTTCAGCGCACGCCAATACAACGCAGTGCTCTGAGCATAAAGAACTATAGGACATGAGGCGAACTGCCTCTTCTGTGCGTTGGGACTATGCTGCCCAATGGGGCTGGTGTGAGCGAGCCCATACGGTTGATCGTTACCTCTGCTGGAGGTCTGTTCCCAGCATCAACTACTCTTTCTGTAAAATAATACTTTCTAAGGTTAGTTTTGAACTTTCCTAGTGCTTGAGGTCACGCCCCTGTGCGACTGATCATAGCTTTATAATGAATATACAGCCCTCCTGAACCTCATTTACACCCTTAAAGCGGACTACTCCTCACCGCAACCCTCCCCTCCCCCGCTATATACAGTTTCGCAAATTTAATGCAACATAAAAAATTGCAACTTCCACTGTTTTATTCTACAGGCCTCCGCTTTCTGTGTGTGTGTGTGTGTGTGTGTGTGTGTGTGTGTGTGTGTGTGTGTAAGCCACAAAGTGGTAGCCACGTAAAATGACAGAGCGGGGTCAGTGCATGCTGAAGCGCACAGTATGCAGAAGTCACCAACTGTCTGCAGAGTCAATAGCTACAGACCTCCAAACTTGGTGTGGCCTTCAGATTGGCACAACAACAGTGCGTAGAGAGCTTCATGGAATGGGTTTCTATGGCCGAGCAGCTGCATCCAAGACTTACATCGCAAAGCGTCGGGTGCAGTGGTATAAAGCACACCGCCACTGGACTCTAGAGAAGTGGAGACGTGTTCTCTGGAGTGACCAATCACGCTTCTCTGTCTGGGTTTGGCGGTTGCCTGGAGAACGGTACTTGCCTGACTGCATTGTGCCAAGTGTAAAGTTTGGTGTGGGGTTGTTTTTCAGGGGTTGGGCTTAGCCCCTTAGTTCCAGTGAAGGGAACTCTTAAGGCATCAGCATACCAAGACATTTTGGACAATTTCATAATCCCAACTTTGTGGGAACAGTTTGGGGATGGCCCCTTCCTGTTCCAACATGACTGCGCACCAGTACATAAAGCAATGTCCATAAAGACATGGATGAGCGAGTTTGGGATGGAGGAATTTGCCTGGCCTGCACAGAGTCCTGACCTCAACCCGATAGAACACCTTTGGGATGAATTAGAGTGGAGACTGCGAGCCCGGCCTTCTCCTCCAACATCAGTACCTGACCTCACAAATGCGCTTCTGGAAGAAAGGTCAAACATTTCCATAGACACACTCCTAAACCTTGCGGACGCCTTCCCAGAAGAGTTGAAGCTGTTCTAGCAGCAACGGGCGGGCCAACTCAATATTGAACCCTACGGACTAAGACTGGGATGCCATTAGAGTTCATGTGCGTGTAAAGGCCGGCGTCCCAATGCTTTTGGCAATATAGTGTATATATTTATTTGTTTGGAGGCTTTTAGTAATTTTCTAGCTAACAATTTAAAGTGTGTGTGTAAAAAATTTAATTCAATACATTTACCTGAGTGAGAATAAATTTAAATGACGCGTTTGCTTTAAGCGGGTTAACATTATTATGTTTTAATATTATCATTAAGGATTGCTGTAGCACTGACATCTTCTGTGACACCGTACAAAGTTTTTCAATATAGACAATTCATTCTGACAGTATTGGTGTAAATGTATAAATTCCTCCTAAAATATGCTTCCTTATGTTTTGTATTTTTATTTTCAATTTAAATAGGTTGGTGCACTTTAGCAGATATTATTTATTTTTATAGATCTTGGTTATTCACTTTTTATCATTATAGATCTTTCCAGCTACTTTTATTTTATTTTTCATTTTACGTTATTTTTAATTTACTTTTAAAAAAAAAATTCCACACTAGTTTTAAACAAAGGAAAACTTTTGCAAGAGCAAGCGGCACGTGGGCTTATCACCCCCAGTACATATCTGTGGCCTGCAGTGACCCAGATGATCACATGATTTCCGGGAGTGACGTGTAGAGGACGTGCCACATTGTTACTGCACTGCCTTGCACTGAGCTCTGTGTAGTACTAGTCTGAATGGCAGGATTGTCATCAGTGATTCCTGTCTGGCTCGTTGTGGCAAATCATTTGGCTCAAAGTGACACTAAACTCATGAGTTAAATCTTAGAATTGAATTCAGGTGCCCTAACTATTAACAAAAAATGTATCTTATTTGTGAATCACTCGGCTGTAGATCCTCAAATCATCTCTGAATTGGTGCCGACACTGTCCTTCCTTCTGGAGGGGGGCTACTTTTGTTCCCCATGGTCCCTGTGTGTGTTGTAAAGTAGTCATCACTCCAAGCTCACTCCCGGGATGGACTACAATCTCAGTATGAATCAGTAAACTAAACATGAGATTATAGTCCATCACAGGAGTGAGCTTGGAGCGGTGACTACTTCACAACATACACAGGGACCATGGGGAACAAAAGTAGCCCCCCTCCAGAAGGAAGGACAGTGTCAGCACCAATTCAGAGATGATTTTGAGGATCTACAGCAGAGTGATACACAAATAAGATACATTTTTGTTAAAGAAGAAATATGGGGTTAGTGCTTTTCCCCATAGTTCTCCGAAGGGTAACGGGAGGACACAAACTAGCGTCCTCCCGTCACCCAAAGCTCAGTATACCGCAGCTCGCGGTATACTGAGACACCGCAATTATGTCTGGAACCGCCCAGCTACGCGAGTGACAGCTGGCTCTGCCTATCTAGAGGTCAGTCAGTGCTGGCGGATCGGACAGGGGAGGGGGGAATCCAGTCACTCCCCTGTCACGGCTCACCAGCGTGGATAGATCGAGAGGTGAGCGAGTGCCGGTATGTGTTCGCTCACTTCCCGATCTACTGAGCTGACCTGTGACACAGTTTCAATGTCACAGGTCGGCTCATATCTTGATAGATCTCCCTCCTTTTGTAGATCTGGTCTGAGTCAGTGCTAACAGTACTAAGGGCCCTCACGCCCATGTAGCTACTCTGAGGCCTGATTTGAGAGATGATTTGAGGATCTACAGCCGAGTGATACACAAATAAGACACATATTGTTGTTAATAGTTCAGGTACTTTTAGGATTTAATGGCTGAGTTTAGCATCTTATTAACCACTTGCTGACTGGGGTGTTCAACCTCCTTCCTGTCCAGGCCATTTTTCAGTGTTCAGCGCTGCGGTACTTTGACTGACATTTATTATGAATTTTTTGGGGGGACAGATAGAGCTTTCTTTTGATGGTATTTAATCACCACTGGGGGGTTTTTATTTTTTACTATATAATGAAAAAAGTTCAGAAAATTTTGAAAACCTGTTTTCCCTACGTTATGTTATAAAACATTTATCACCCAATTTTTTTGTAAAACATAGAAGGCGGGTCGCGTCGGGTAAATAGACACCAAACATGTCAACCTTTAAAATTGTGTGCGCACGTGAAATCGCACAATGCTACTATGTCTAAAATTAGGTGCCGATTTAAAATATTTTATGACTTATCAGTTTAGTGTTGTCAGTGACTGATGGCCCTAAAATTATTGCTTGTACTCCGACATTCGCGGCGATATGTAACATGTGTGGCGTAATCGTTGTTTTCGCACGTAGGTGCACCCGATGCGTATTTATATTTATATGTGGGTGCACGGGGGGGGGTGGGGTGTCTGGCATTTTTTTGGTGTTTTTTTATTTTAACAGGCGTCTTTAATCCTTTTTTTTTACACTTAACTTTATTGCTATCACATAGGGGAATAACAAGCCCCATGTTATAACAAATATACAATGACAGGTCCTCTTTATGGAGACATCGGGAGTCTCTAAGACCCTTAATGTCACCTTGGGACCCCCGAATAAGCTGATGAAGCAGAGATCTTCTTCTCCAGCTTTTTCTCTGGCTATAGCAGAAAGTTTAGCAGTGGGAGAATGCTGATCTCTCCTCCGTTCTTACTGCTACTAGCCGCTGTGCTGGTCCAGGGCCAGCGGGTGTGACAGCAGAGCCGGGGATAACCGGCAGCGGCCTGGAGGGGTGAGCGCGGCAGTGGAAGGGGACACACACTTTTTATGGTGTCATACAAGCGATCGCCCGGCTGTAGAGCTGAGCCGAACGCTTGTATGTAACAGCCAGTACCGGCTGTATACATTCCCAGCTGGATTCTGCTTGCGTGCGTCCGCTGTGCGACCTTGCGATCGTGATCTACCAGCATTAGCTTTGCGATATACTGGTAGGCACTAGGGATGTTCCGATGCCACTTTTTCAGGCCCAAGTACAAGTACATCCCCTCATGTACCTGCCGATAACAATTACCGATACTTTTTCTTAAAGGGACTGGTGACTTTAAATGATCCATAGTACAACTACATGTTATGTACTATGGATCATGGTTTAACCTATTCATGTTAGCAGGGGAGAATTGTAAGCACCAATTTGGCACTCCTGCTGTAGAATAAAATGGCAGCATTTGCGATTTAGTTTATCAAGCCTGATATAATATAAGAAATGCACCTAGCTTGGACAGCTACCTCGTCCCATGACCGGGGGGCAATATTCACCTCCAGACAGCATGTTGTTCCCAATACAAAACGCAGAGGTTTTCCAGCACACTTATGGGCTAGCCTGCAACAAAACAAGTTACCATGTCTAACAGTATGCGTTAAAAACATAGGTTTTAGTTGCACAACTTTTGCAAAATATGTGGAAGCCGCACTGCCCGGTCAATGCCCCCTGTGTAGTGCAGTCCTAACTCTGATTTTTGTGATTCTCCATATTGGAGCATTTATACGAAAGGATAAATTGAGTTCAGGTTTGCCAGGAGGCAGCTCAATCCTCCTTAAAGATCACTACAGTTACATTTCTAGTGTAGTCCACTCCTGACTTACTTTTAGAAACGCGTGACGTGCGACTTAGGCCGCGTGCGGAGCCCCGAACAGGCTAAGCAATCGATAGCCGACGAATCGACGATCGAAAACGTTGCCAACGTTTTCAATCGTCGATTTTAATCGACTTAATCGATTTAACTGTTGCCGCTCTAGTTTGCGGTTCCTGCATGGTTTTCCATGCGGGACACAAATTGCTAATATTGCGGATGCCACTCGTTTGCAGCTATGAACTACCCGCGAGTCTGCAGAATCCGCCAGATTATCGCAATTGGACTATTTCGGGGGCCAATCGGTTTCATACCGCACGCCCCACGCAATGGTCTGAATTATGCACATTCAAATTCCTGCGTAGAGCGGCTACGCGCGTATCCGGACAGCCAAATACACGCAGACAGCCGCTATGGTGTGAATTGAGCCTTACAATAAAAAATCTACTTTGACCAATGTATGATTAATAATAACATAGACCTGTCAGGTGTAAAATGCTGTGATGTGAATTACTTATACTTGCAGAGTATTCACTTCCTGCTTTGAAAGGGCAAAATTACTTCAGTTTGCCAACACAATGTACGCTGGGATTGCCTTGTCATCAGCAGAGCATTGCTGGGAAATCTCATCTGTATTCTCACAAGATCTCAGGGAAAGGCATTTTTCTCCCCTGAGATGATGTGCATGGTCACATGTCCTAGTCAAATGTCCTAGTCACATGTAATAGGAGAGCTAGTAATCTGCACTTAGTAAACATGGCCACTCTCAGAAGACTGGGGAAGAAAAGAGAAATAAGGAATGCAAAGATTACAAAGCCGGCAATTATCTAGAAGTATGTGTTTGTGGATTGTCATTACTAAACATTTCTAAAGGTGTGCTGCTTGTTATTTTTAAAGATATGGGTACAGGTCCACTTTAAAGGCACAGGGACACTCCAGAAGCCTCGCACATCACAATGGCAAGCCCCCAGTGTGTCCCCACACCAAACCCAACAAGTGAAACAAATGGCAAATGCAGTCATCAATTCATAAGTAGCTGTAAAGCAAGGTGCACATGGGTATAGTAATAGATCTATAGAATACAGATAAATGAACTATGCTCCAATATTGAGACTCACAAAAATTCGAGTTAGGACCGCACTATACAGAGGGGCGTTGACGGGGCAGTGTGGCTTCCACATACTTAGCAAAAGTTGTGCAACTAAAACCCCTGTATTTAACGTACCCTATTAGACGGCAATTTGTTTTGTCACAGGCTGGCCGGAAAATGTGCTGGGATATTTGTATTGTTGTAAGCTCTTCCATGTGCACCGTGCTCCAAAGACTAATTATTAGTTGTGCGGTCGCCATGTATTTTTAGCTTAGCATGTTCCCACCCAGTTTGGAAAGCTACCTCGCCCAATCCATCGTCACAATGCGGATGATTAAATCAGAAAGTTTAACTGAGGTCATTCACTTCCTGTTGGCTCGGTGAGGTACTGGGTAGTTATGCGTCATTGTTTACCCTGTTTCATGTTGCTGTTCTTTTCACCTGTTTGATCTTCCATTTACTTCTAACCCTTTGGTTGAAAGCGTCTCACGTTAGCCTTTTATATGCACACTCATCTTCATTTACGTGTTAGCAATAAGCTTGATCTGTAGATGCAAATACGCTTCAAAGCGTCATTCTCTAAATGTAATTTTTGCAGTGCAGCTTTGAATCTACTTGGTGGATTATGGCGTCTATATAAAAAAAAGAAGCTCATTCATCCAGCAAAACTGCAAATTTGTTCTGTGCAAATGAACCTGTTGTTGAGAAATGGGGCAAAAACAAATGTTGTTAGTGCAATTTCTCTCCTGGTTGAATGTTCTTCAGTAGGTATATTCATAGAGAACAGAGCGACACTACCATTTAGATGGAGCATAGGATCATAGGAAATAAATACATGTTGGTAACGAGATACAATGTTACAATTCTAGAGAACACTGGAGGGAATGGAGCTTATAAATGTAACCGCTGGATTTTCCAAAAGCTTTTGACACAGTACCACATAAAAACTTAAAGGAGAACTATGAGGTGAGTGCCTTTCACTCTCCTCGTGTTCACCGGTGTTCGCTCACCTCTCGATCCTGTCACTGCTCTCTGCCGTGACAGGGTAAGGGCTGGATTCCCACCTCCCCGCTCAGATCCGCCAGCGCTGACTGGCGGAACGGATGGGGGAGGGGGAGGGTACAGCTGGCTCTGCCTCTAGATAGGCAGAGCCAGCTGTCAGTAACACAGCTGGGCGCATCCCGGCACAATTGTTGGGATCCGCTTCAGCTGCGGCGTCTCAGTATACCGCGAGCTACAGCTCGCGGTATACTGAGCCTAGGGTGATGGGAGGATGCTAGTTTTGTGTCCTCCCGTTACCCTAATGAGAACTATGGGGAAAAGCCTTAACCCCATAGTTCTCCTTTTAATACACCAGCTGAGATCTATGAGCATAGATTAAAGAGTGAGTACATGGATAGAGAACTGGCTACAGGACGTGTCCAGAGAGTATTGATAAATGGCTTTCTCAGATTGGTCTAGGGTCATGAGTGGCATTCCCCAGGGTTCTGTGCTAGGCCCCATACTGTTTAACCTGTTTATTAATGATATTGGGGAAGGTGTTAATAGTCATGTTTCTGTGTTTGCTGATGATACTAAAATAGGGAGGGTAATAGACACGGACTTAGACACTATAACGTTACAGGAGGACCTGGATAAAATAGGGGAGGGGCATCTATATGGCAGATGAGGTTTAATTTTGAAAAATGTAAAGTAATGCACTTTGGGGTTAAAAATAGGCAAGCGGAATACACATTAATGGGAACTCCACTAGGGAAGTCACAAATGGAAAAAGATTCGGGGGTCATAGTAGACCACAGATTGAACAATAGTTTGCAATGCCAGGCTGCGGCAATTAAAGTGAGCAGAGTACTGTCTTGTATTAAAAAGGGAATGTACTGTAGAGACCAGGCTAAAATTGTGCCACTTTATAGATCGCTGGTTCTGCCTTGTCTTGAATATGCAAATAAGTTTTGGTCACCAATCCACAGAAAAGATGTCCTTGAGCTGGAGAAGGTCCAGAGAAGAGCAACTAAGCTAATTAAGGGGCTGGAGGATCAAAGCTATGAGACAAGGTTACTAAATTTGAACTTGTTCACGCTGGAAGTGAGGAGATTAAGAGGAGACATGATTTTGATGTACAAGATGTTTAGTGGTGATGGCAACATCGGCAATAAAATTTTTACTGTAAACTCCATAACAAGGACTCGAGGCCACCACCTAAAATTAGTGGAGAAAAGATTTATCCACAAAGGGTGTAGGGGCTTCTTTTCAGTTAGAGCGGTTACATTTTGGAGCTCTCTGCCACAAGAAGTGGTATCTGTAAAGAATATTAATAGATTCAAAAATCAATTGGATGCCATCCTAAGAGACCGTAACATACAGGGGTACAAGTGGTATTAATTACTAGACCACACAGGGACTCGTATACGCACGCACAACACATACACAAAGGTTGAACTTGATGGACTTGTGTCTTTTTTTCAACCTCAAATACTATGTAACTATGTATACTACAGGGATGGCAATGGTCACATTTATATGCTCCATTGCCTCTAGTGTTTTCTTGAGTTGTATCTCCTTACTAACGTATTTATTTCCCATTCTCGCAGCAGTTGCTTGACTTGCGCAGAACAAATCTACCTGCAGTTTCACTTGACGAATAAGCTATGCATTTGACCCTTTTTAAAGGTTGTCTATGGCCAAAAACTAAAAATATATCTGTATCTCTATATTGAATTTCCATAAGTTCTATCCCACTCCTAGTATCCATATCCATCTAGAAGTCTGTAAACGTACTTATTGAAGATGCCCAGATGATGTACTTCCTCAATGCACTGACACAATGTCACTCTGTCCTGTGAATATGAACTTCCTTTTGTCGCAACTCTGCTGAACCACAACTTGACATCTGAACATTGTAACATTATCATTGCTTGCTGGAAGCAATGCATGATGGGCTATGTAGTCTTGGGAAATGGAGATTGCATCACATCAAGCAGCAAGGAAAGGGATGAAAAGCACACTGGGAAAGAAGGTGATGGAAGTGATGGGCAGATGGAAGGCAGCACTCACTACATAAAAGGGATTTTTTTTCATGTAAGTTTTGATTGCATTATAAGACAACTCTATTATGTATTCCTATCACAATGCTGATGTTCTAACAGGAGAGGATAATATAATGGAAATAAGGACCCTCTCCCATCTCCATTCTGGGAGTCTGTCAGCTTAATATATACATAGGGAGGGTTAGTGGCTCTCTTGGGCTGGCTAGGTGCTTGGCTCACACACAGTCCTGCAGATTCACCCTCTCCTGGGTATTTCCTGGTGGTTGAAAGCCATTGGCAGAGAGTTCCTTTGCTGTTACAAGTACAGGGTAAAGGAGTATAGGTTTTCTGGAAGATGCATATTCAAGTCATCTTCAACATCAATAACTTCTTATTTTCACCTTGTAGCCCAATCCAGAAGGAGGGAAACAGAAGGAAGGAGGCAAGAAGAAAGGCAAGGATGGATCTGGTGATGGAGCCCGGGCAGAGGTAAGATGTCCAGATTTAATACATTTTCACAAAACTATTATAGCTTTCTTGGGCTCGGAGAGCATGGTCTCTGTGGGGACTTCCAGGACATTATGCTAAAGTGTAACTCCACTTTTGTTGAGAGAAAAAAAAAAAATTCTCCTGGTTGATGTACATTGTAAGGATTTTACCAAACTCTGTTGCAGATTCCTGTTTGTCGCTGTCCTGAATGGGAGGGTCTGGGTTCATTATAACCACCTGGTGCACTTTCAGTGTTCTAATGTGGAAAGTTGTAGTTACCCCTTAGGGAGGAGTATCTCATAAAAATTGAAATGCCTATTGCCAGGGATGCCTAAAATGTTACTTGTATCTCAGTGCAGACCTCCTGGGAAACCTGTGAACCAATCACACAAGCAGGACATGACATTTTTGGGGGCGTTCTATATAACATCAGTGTAGAGAACGCCTCCAGGTCACCATATTGCATTTCATTTTTTTAAACCCTTTCAGAAAATGACAGCGGCTTTAGATTGAAATTGAGAGGTCATTTTTGATAACATTAAATTACAAAATGTCTCGTATTGGGATTTTTATATGCTGTATTTTTTTTTTCTAACAAAAGTAGGTTTTTGTCTCAAGAAAGATGGAGGCCATTGCCAGCTTCTCTTCTTGAATATGCAGTTGTCATTCTGACCATCCAGCTTGAATAATTTGGGCTCTAGTTTTAAGCTTGTGAATCTCTGTGAACATTCCCTTTGTATAAAGGCAAAAATTAATATATTTTTATTTTCCAGGTTGAATGTATTTTGAGGCAATACTGCAATGTGGCGACTAGATGGGGCAGAGTAGCATGGAAAATACGTTTTTGTTTTTTGTTTTTTTCTATACTCCATCTAGAGGCCATAATGTAGTATTACGTTACATTGCATTCGACCTGAAAAGAAAATACTTTAAAGAGGAACTTTACCCGTATCTTTGAAATGACAAAAACACCTTTGGAAATGTTTAGTAATGACAATGTACACACGCTTCTAGATAATTGCCGGCTTTTTAATCTTTGCATACCTTATTTTTCTTTTCCTCTCCATTCTTCTCACAGTGGCTATTTTTACTAAGGGCAGATTAATAGATCTCCCTTTACTTCCTGGAACTCTGGCACATGTGACTAGGACATGTGACCATGCACTTCATCTCAGGGGAGGAAAATGCCTTTCTCTGAGATCTGGTGAGACTACAGATGGGATTACCCAGCAATGCACTGCTGATGTAACCTTCCCAGGATGCAGCGCTTGGGCACATTACATCACTAATGCTCAAGAGGACCAGGAAGGGGAAATATAATAATTGTAAGTGAAAGAAAAAAATGTTTTTTTAACTAATGAATTTAAGATGATTTCATCTCAGAGCTGCATGCTGAGGTGATTTTTAGTGAAAGGGGGTAAAGGTCTGTCTTTAAGATTGTTCATTTTTGCCAATATTCGCACAAAAGGAGCATTCACTGAGATTCACAAGGCAAAGGTCACTGCTGATTTTCTGTAAATAGATCTCTTTGGGTGACGGACCTGGAAAAAAGCGTGTGGATCAGGACTTCTCAGTTCCCTGGCTTGTTTTGGGTCATTGACTTGGTAACAGTTAATTCCAGTGGACCACAATAAACACTTATTTCAGGTCTTTAGCCCGGGTCAGGGTGACGCCCCCAGAGCCTGCAGTCAGCAGTAGCTTCTATATTTGTGTTTATAACAGGTTCTCTTTGATCATGATGGATAAACAGCCTGTTCTGCTTCAAAAGCTGATTCATTCCATGTTTGTTTCCATGTACGTTTGTTAACTTCCAAGCTGATCTGTTAGTGGACATTTTTCTTTTATGTATCAAGCAAACAATTGTTATTCATTATTATAAATGTCGTTTTGCTTTTCATCAGTGTTTCCCTGAGCCTGCCTGCTCCTGATTGTTTCATTATCAGGGCTGACAGTCTGCCAGAACAAACTATTTTGTACAAGTCCGGTAAACATTGGCATAAACCGATCTCCCCACCGAGCCGCGTCTTGCTAGTTAAGCAGCTGTCGGGATCGGAGAACATATTATTTCGATAATCCCGCTGCCTGCAGTTATTTCTGGATCTCCATAGAAACATGACTCTACTTCCATGTACAGTCATACCTCCTCGGTGTAAATGTGTACCGCAGATTACCAGATTCACTTACACACAAAAACAGACCTATTTCTAAGGCTGGTTATGAAAGCTGCAGCAAAGATGGAATTACTTCTGTCTTCATTGCCATCTGCATATCCCCCCCCCCCCCCC